GCCCTACTACGCCGGAATTTCCACCGTCTTCTATGTGGTGGCCCTGGTCTCGGTCATCCAGCTGCTCATCTGCATCGTGGCCGAGTACCAGCGGCTCAAGCAGCCCTCCATCCTCCGCGCCTGTCGCATAACCACCCAGAAGCTTCTCTACTTTATGGTCTTTGTGGCGGCCTCTCTGCGCGGGGCCTACTTCACCACTCCCGTTAGTAGTCTTCATATGTCATTTTATCTGTTCATTTAATCACATAATCGGTAATTTCAGTTGGATCTCCAGCCACAATGGGCCGTCACTCTGATGTCCGCCTATTATCCATTGCTCATGACCTGCGCTTCTCTGATTGTCTGCATGTGGGCCGAGGTGAGTCAAACACGGGAGTATTTTTTAAATATATTCTAAATGCAACCCCGTTCGTTGCTGTGACATTTCCTAGATTAGGCGGTCTGATTTCGTCAGATTAGAGACAGATTATTTAGTATAAAAAATATATTATAAATTCTAATTAAATATATAGTAATTTGCTGCTCATGGGGTTCCAAAATTAGAATCTAATTGTAAATCGATAACAGTTTTTTCAGACTTTTATTCCCTTTACAAAGTCTTTTGTTTGATTTGATTTGTTTTTAATATATCTTATGCCGGGAGTAAACAAACTTTTAATTAATTGAACTCCCAATTTAAAAAGAATAACTGACCATTAAAATGTTTTTACTATTCTGATTAGATTTTCCTGCTGGCAAGAACGTATCACAATATAGATAACGTATCATTATTGTTAGCAACTTAAATAAATTTTCATGATAAGTTTAAGCTTAGTAGTATTTTTAGTCACGAGTCCACCACTAACTTAAAAAGTAACCAACCGATCGCACCCGAACTCTGAGAACCATGGGAACCGAAAGGTGACCAGCTGAATTCTATATGGTTACATTATCGAGCAAAGTATGGCACTAAAGTGCGTCCACTTGTACTTGCCATATTCTCGTATCTAACGAACGCGATAACGAGTCGAGGGCAATTGTACCCGTAACTCGAGCCAATTTCATTGTTTTCGCGGAACGTATCTGGGGCCTCCCGATAGGCCAGCACAATTAATTAAGTTTTGGGGCGAGTGTACGCATACGGCAGCACTTGATCTGAAATAGAAACTGTGGGTGACTCTCAGGGAAAACCTAATCAACAGTATAATTCATTCGCACTTGTTCTGTTCGCCGTTGCAGATATTTCACCTGCGCGACATTCGTTGGGAGAAGTCGCAGTTCCTGTCGAAGAGCTTCCTTGGCTTCGTGGCCTTTAACTTCTTCCTGTACAGCCTGTTTGGCATCGAGGTCTTCAACTCGCTGATCAATTCGGAGCGTCGCGATTACGCCCACATCTTCAACGGATGCTATGCAGTATTACTCCTGATCGTGGTGGTCTTCTTCCTCATCTACGGCGTTGAGGTGTTCTTCAAGCTGCGCGGCGGCTTTGTTTACGATCAGACGGGCAAGATCCTGGGTCCCAGCGAGGCGATTGTGAATGCCTCGCAGTTACATCAGTCCCGCTTCGGACTGCTCAGCCAGGCCGTAATGCTCATTGTTATTGTGGGCTTTCTCACCTCCGAAACTTTGGGCGACTTCTGGAAGGCTAAGTAAGTGCTTAACGGCTTTCAATTTAAATCGCAACTGCCTTTTACTAACTAAAATCTTTTAATTTCGCCAATCCGTAGGGTTCCAGTTAACTCGCGCAACTGGCATGACATCATTTTCCGCATCGCCGAGATCGGAGTTGCCCTGTGGTTTCCCTGCTGCCTGTGGAACTCGATGGCTCCCGAACAGCTCTGGATCCTGAATCCTCGCAAATTGCTATCCCGCCAAATCGATCCATCGATACCCACTCTTAATGCGGACACCAACAAGTTGTCACCCGAGGAGGGCCAGTCCTTTTTGACCAAGAAGGATTGCTGGATTTGCTATGACACCGACAAGCCCGAGCCCCTCATCCAACCATGTCGTTGCACTGGTGATGTCAGCTCCGTCCACCACGAGTGCCTCAAGCGCTGGCTGGTGGAGAGCTGCAGCAATTCGGAGGCCCAGTTGTCCTGCAAGGTGTGTGGTCATCCCTACGAGATCGAGAAGTCCAAAAAGTAAGTTCTCTTCAAAGTAGGTTATCGTTATATTTTGTTTTATAACTTCCTGAAGCAATAGTGGTATCACTAACAACATACATTTTGAGACATGGCTATCAGCAATTTGTTAATACGATAAGATTTTTTGCCACTGCTCGATTGAAATATCCGTAATAGTTAAAACCAAACACTTTAAATATAAGCAAATTAGAAAATTTATTTAAACTTTAACGATTTTGAATTTCATAAATACAATACAACTATAAATATCTAATTCAAATTTTCTCTATTACAGACTCGAATGGGACAAGGGCTTTACCATTCAGCATTGGTCCAAGACGGTTATATTGATAACCCTTATGTGCGTGACCGGAGCCACAGCTTGGGTGGTCATTCAAATGTACGTTGATCCGCTTGTGCGCGTGATGACTGTCGGAATAGCCGTGCTTATTGGCTACGTGTGCGTCAAGTGTCTTGGCGAGAACACCGTGGTGGCCTATCAGCGGGCCAAAGTCAGCTCAATCAACATAGTTACCAGCTCTGAGATGGAGAAGCTGCACACCATTTGCGAGGAGGTCAGCGCCAGCACCTCGGCAACAGCGGCTCAGGCGGGAGCGGCCTCCTAAGACCCTAAAAGGACCTTCGCTCAAGGAATCACACATCACACACACATCAGCTGAACTTACAGACATCACAATCTACTTACCTAGTTTAGATTGCGTTTTGCACAGATTTTGCTCAATGCTCAATTATTAGTTAACACACCATACGTGAGGTGGGTGTCCAATCACCTGCCTCTATATCCTCAACTGTGTACATAGGTTTAACACGTCCGTGATTAGTAAGAGTAGCGAAAAGCGTTTCGATTAGCGAGTCAATTTTGTCTCTCAAATTATCATGCAGATTTCCAAAAGCGAATTGTATTAAAAGAAGCCAAATATTATGTAGTATAAGCGTAGGTCAGTATCGATTGCAAAAACCGAAACAGAAAGAATCGAGAATTTCCTGAGATTATGATTATGAACGCGTTGCCAAGTAGCCTGAAGAGCGAAGAAGCAAAAAATAGATAGCTTCGATGCGCCGGAGCATCAGCCCATGCTGATCTGTAGTTTATAGTTTTCTTTTTTACAACTAATTTATGAAAACATTCTGATTTGCTCCATTTCATTTTCGATTTCATCCTTGGATGTAATCAAAATACAAGCAAAACACAAGTACTTGGCGAATATTAAATTAAGCAAATATGTTTTTACTTTGTATTCGATTGGAATAAGTTTCTTTTTAAATTATAAGTTAACCTTTAAGAAGCTAATTTATATAAATGTTTCGCCCACATATACATACGCACGTACATATTTAGTATATATATATAGATATATATTCACATTTTATTGTAGTTGCTACACAAAATTTGTCAAAGCAAAGAAAAACAAAAACCACAAAAGAAGAAAAATCCAACATATAATTTAAGCTACCATACAATTTTTGTGATAAAACAAATAAAATACAATTTATAAAACTTAAAAAAAGTATTGTTTTTCATACTTTAGCCGGGGTTTAGGACTGTTTAAATTTCTCGGAAATTTACGTCAAAAATCATTTGGGTCACAAAATTGAAATCAAAAAGTTAGTAAAGAATAAAGGCAAAAAAATGAAATTTCGGAAATTTACGTCAAAAATCATTTGGGTCTCAAAATTGAAATCAAAAATTTAGTAGAATAATGGCAAAAAAATTAATTATAACCTTTTAAAGGTTTACCTTTACTAAATTGGTTTTGAGCAACCCTTCTACAAAACCAATTGAGGGTTTATATTTTAAGAATAAAGGACCATATTTATTCCAATGCTACCAGATAATAATGCATTTGAATTAGTTTTTGTTTAAGCCTAAAAATTTATTTTACACGTATTTACTACAAAATATATGCATTATATTAGGTAAGCTTAATATGCGTAAAAAAAGCCATGTCATGCAATGACTAACTTTTCTTTTTTTGCATTTAACTATTTTAGCAACATTAAAGCAGAAATGTTTTTTGTATATTTATAATGTAAAAAAAGATCAACAACGTAAGAGGTTACCCGAATCGAAAAGCGTACAAGCTAGTCGTAACAATCGCAGTGTAAAATTAAATTCGAAAAGTATAAGATCCAAGCTGGAGCCTGCATTTCAGTTGGACAAAAACATTACTGTGCAACCGTAAAATATTTAATAATATTTAAACAATGACTCCATTATGTGGATAATAAACTAGACAAATTTTGTTAAATTATCCTGATGAATTATCCTAAATTTAGACTTAGTTTTTCAGCTTTGGCGACGCTTTGCCTGGTTCAAGCTAAAATTAGAAGCAATTCAACTAGTAAGTCCAGAGTTGGCTATCGGGTTTTGAGATGGTTTTGGGGTCAGTTGATGGAGTATACATTTAAAGAACGACGGCCGAACGCTTGTCACGATTCTTTCCCCGGGTTATGGAGCGTGCCTTGAATGCAGCTGCATTGACAAGGTGCTAGAAATGGAAAGGAGAAAATTAATATTTGCAAGTCAACAAAGGATTCATTTTGATCAACTTACTCGCTCCAACTTTGACTGCTTGACCTTGGCGTTGCCATTGATGCCGGTGTTGGTGGGACGCGGTCCCAGCTGGAAAATGTCGCGAATGAACTCGTTCTCCTGCAGTTGCGAGGTCATCCCGGGTCCCATGACCGTGCACAGGGCCGAATACTGATGGTGTATGGACCAGGAATCAAGGGTCAGGGACTCGTGTCCGAAGCGAATGCTTATTTCCGGGGAAATGTCCTCCTGCAATAATGAGATAAATAAAGTTAAAGCTAGGTAGGCTAAGCGAAAATATTCTAATCTAAATTAAAAAGTGTTTGAAATGTATCACTTTTATTTTTAGTTTCATCTAAAGCAGACTAAATTTGAAGTACGAAATTTCTTGTTAAAATAGTAAAAAATAATTTTGTCGCATTTTTTTTTTGCAATTTTTTATATAACTCGCTGTCAAGATGATGCTATCAACCTATCAGCATGACTATGTGCCACCCAATGCCAAGCGGTACGAGTTCCTCACCCGTTCAAAGGGCTTCGAGGGACACGAGGGTCCACAGGTTATCGAGTGCGAGTGCGTCGACGAGTCCAAGATCAAGATGCCGCCGAATGCGTCCAAAGACTGTGCCGGCGTTGAGTGGACAGGCATAGCTCCAATGGGCAAGCTGGTAGATCCTCGACTCATACCCACGCAGCTAACCCAGGACCAAGTGGACAAGATGGCCTTTTCGGCGGAGACCGATTGCTTCAAGCTGCAGCCGAATCGCTTCCTTAAAATCTTGCGCACCGTCTACCCAGACCTGTACGAGCGCCTGAAGGTTCTGCCCAAGGAGGAGCTGAGTCGCAGATTGGAGACCAACCGCATGTTCACCACCTATCAGATCGACTATTGTGCCATGAACGAGTATCCAGAGGGCATATACGAAAGCCTGAAGACCGAGGACGAGTCTAAGAATGCGAACAAGCTGATGAGTGAACGCAGGCCCTGCAATGAGTTCCGCTCGAACGTAATGAACGAATTGGAGCGCGAAGCGTCTACTGGCTACGAGGTATCCAGCGACGACTGCCAGAAGACGTACAAGCCGTTCAAGACCAGCTTCTCAGACTCCTCGCAGTCCATTGAATCCGGCAGCAATTCGCATTGGAACTCGGCTCCAACCACGTACCGAAAGGTGCCGACCTTCAGCGAATACATGGACTCGATAAGTCGGAATGGTTGCGTCATTATGCGCAACAGGCTGCACGATCACTCGAAATGCTTGGCCAAGTACTGCAAGCATGAGCTTAAGTTCACGTGCAATGACATGAAGTGATCGCCTGAAGTGTTGTGCATCTCATTTCCATTAAATGTGTAATACAAACCAATTAACCCGAGTTATAGTAGTATCTCTTACTCACCTCTAGGTAGCGCAGCACATCCCGGAAGGTGGCCCGCTGAGCCTTGCGATCGCGCTTGGCCCGATATTTGTGCGAATCTGTGGCCAACTGCTTCACAGCCTCCGAAAGTTCGGCGATAGCGTCCTCTAGGAAATCATCATCGTGGGCACGGCCCGACTCCAGAATCAAAGCAATAGTCTCGCCTGCGGCCATGCGGACATCCAAATGTGTAGATTGCAAAAGACCCAAGAACTTTTTAATAGATCTATAAGTAATTAAATGGTATCCTTGATTTAACTGTTACATTTTTAAAGTGTGGTACCAGAATGTACTTACGGAAACATGTTCTGGCCAGTAGTCATCAGGGAAACAAAATCTCCCGAGGGTATCAGAGTGAGCAGCAATCCCCAGGCGTTCAAAGCCTCTGCATGAAAAGTGCCCGCCTCAGCGGTGACCGATACCGGTGTCTTATCATCACCCCGCAAATAGCTCCCGGCGAAGATGGCCTCAAAGCACTGCATCAGTTGCACCAACTCCCCGACATCCTCGCAGCCCAGGAAGCTCAGTAGTCCCAAGGCTGTGCAGCACTTGGCCCGAGCATCGAAGCCTACTGACTTGTCCTGAACGGTGTTCAATAGGAACTGATTCATAGCCTTAGAAATGCCCTCGTCGCCGCCCATTTGGAGCACAAGAAGAGGGGCGAGTCGAGCGCCCCACACCTGCTCCTGGCCCTTGCCTCGGCGAATGCTCTTCTCAACGAAGTCCATTAGTGTCATCTTGCGGTCCTCAACAAAGTCCGGCATGTAGCGGTGCATGAGCAGCTCGCAAATTGCTTGGAGAGCTTGGACACGAGTCTGAGCCGACTTCTCGGTAGCCTGTTCCAGAGCCTTTTCGAACTTCTCCTCGAATCGCTCATTGGCCAACTCATCGGTGGCCTCCGAAGAGGCGACCTCCGAGACGTGAGAGTAAACGCTCACATTGTCGAAGGACTCATCCTCAGAATTTGAGTCATTGGTGCGGCCTGCAAAAAGAAAAACTATAAGTTAGAAATTCTAAAGAATTTTATAGGGTGTTGTGCTTAAAGCAGAGGTGGTTCATTAAACGAATTATAAATATAAATCATATGACTGCTGAAAGCCATCCAGGTTTTGGTTCTTAAAAAACTAGACCTATTTGGTTTTTAGTTTTGTTATATTAAGAAATGTAACTAAGATAATGACAATGTACAAAAATGAGGAGAATCAATCTACATATGTATTAGTAGACTACGTTTTTTAAAAACGCATTTATTATTTGGTTTCATATATGAAGTGTTTTCTGATACCACCCTCGTACATTGTTCATCAAACTGTTTCAACTTTTAGACCAGTGTTTGTCAAACCATTTGAAATGAGGCAGCGAATACGTATTCTTAACTTTTCCGTCTTCGAGCAGTTTTCATTTGGCTGTGTACTCATTCCGATGTGAACATATATATATGTACAGACAAATTAGAAATTCAATTACATGCTTGCAATGACCTTCACAACAAACAGTTTGGGAGCCAATGTTGTGCAACAAGTTTTCTTTCTTTTTCTTTCTCTTTGTTGCTTGCTAACTGCGTCGAAGAAAACCCGTCGACGTCCACAACTTTCATTATGGCGATTTTCCAGTGCCTGTTTTCTATTTGGGGCAAGGTAGTTTCCGCCTCGTGTTTTTTACCTTTCACAAAAGCTCAATCGAACTACACAAGCATGCTGTAACCGCTGGCCAGAAAATAGAAAAATAGTGGAAAACAGCTGGTTTGTTTGAAAGTTGTTTGGGTTAGATTCGGGTGAGTAAACCATCTGTGTGTTTATAGAGAAACTATACATAATACAAAGTTGCATCATTTTTAGGTCACCAATCAAAAGTACTAAGAGGAAAGTTTTCTAACGAACGAAAACTTCCGCGTCTATATTTTTAAACTGAAGGTTTTTAAGAAAAATGATAGCCCTTACAAATACCCCAAACATTATTTTGGCACTTTGTGAAAAGTTTTTTAAAAATTCTCACTTGCTTAGTACCTATTTAATTTAATGATTTATTTCAATTTAATTTTGCACTGTTTTTCATATATATTTTTTGATAATAAAATCTGTCAAACTTGAACAAATATTCGTAATCTTATATCATTAAGAACAATGGATAAAAATTATCCATTAAACCTTTACGAAAATTTCTTGGACAAATGTACACCACATTTCTAAGAAAAACCCTAATGTCTTGATAAACAATTCCGAGCCCTGTGATAACATACCCACTGATACCCTGCACCGAGGTATTCCCGGCTGCTAGTTGTTATTGGCGTGATTCTGATAAGCTGGCATTGAACGTTCACATATGTGTTGACTGGCTGTATATGTACGAATTATTGTTTGAAATATATATTTACTTACAACTGTGCTCAAGATAGTAGCATTTATTTCAAAAAATAAAAATGTACTGACTAACCTTAGCTACGAAATGTTGAATTGCAATCAAAATAACTTTGATTTGTTTTTTGAACGTTGAATTTACACCTACTATCTTGAGGACAGCTGTATATACATCTATATTGAGTGTTCCGCTGATTACTTGTATTGTTGCGTAGCCAGCTGAGCGCGTGAAGAGCTTTTCGTGCCAGCACAGCAACAAAATGAAAATAATTATTTCGAGGGTATTGCCAAACAGGTTGTAGGCAGCACAAAGCTTTCTTCGTTTTGGAAGCCAACGAAATACACAAAACAGTGCACGGTATTTATTAGTCAGTGCATGAGTAATGCAAAGGTCAAATCGAAAGCAGCTGTGAAAAATTTCCCCTGCATTGCTACACTTAAAGAAAATGTTGATGGGATTATGAAGATCGATTTAATGACATTATTCATTATTTTGGACCTGATGTTATTTTAGAACCTTTAATTGTGATATTCAACTAATATTTATTAGGGTAAAAAACTATACAAAATCTGCACATTTGGGAGAACGTTTAAATTTGATTTCAGAATATCGAAATTATTTTACTTTAGGATAATGTAATCTTGTCCCGGGCTTTTGTTTACCAGAGGAAAAGGATTTTGGCTCTAACCTATTATGCCATCTTGTGCGATGGCTTTTGAGGAATACACATATCAACAAGACATAAGATCTATAAAAATATATTAGATCTTGTTTTTTTTTGTCCTGTGTGCACCCACACACATTTCTCTTTGTGACTCACCTTTGCCTGCTGCTGATTTCTTGTTGCGTCTCGGCATGTTGCTGTTGTTTTTGCGTTGTTCACGTATTTTGTTTGAACTCGACGACGACGTTTTGGTTTCTATTGTTTGGCCTGCTGCTTCAAACACAAAGAACAAATACGAAAAAAAAGATGTTTTGTAGCCGAGTGTCCTTTTTCCTTTCAAAGATGGCAAAGTCTACACGACGGCGAAAATGTCTACACTCCCGTCGCTTTGGCGGCAACTAAAACGCACGTGTTTGCTCCGATTTTATTGATTTCTTTAGGTTAGAAAATTGGGTTCTTAATTTTTTTCTTGAGCTGGGTTTGGTTTGGTTTGGTTTCTTTTCTTTTTTGTTTTTTTAATTCGAAACGTTTCCGATCAGGACGCACCTATGCAAAAGCTTTGGTGTTTCCAATTTTTGGCAATTCTACACGACTGTCTTTGCCGTTTGCAATTGTTCAACTCCGATCGCGATTGTTGCGGGCGTATCTTATATATAGTCTGCTGATACTGCTGCTGCTGCTTGGCGATAATACAAAAATGTCGTACTCTGGTCGTCGTTGCAGCAAATTTCATGTTTAATTGCAATGAAGTCACCACTCCGCTTCCTTAGTTCGCAGCTCTTGTGAAATTGACTTTTTTTTCCCCGATTTCCGATGCTATAGCGTGTTGAATCCCTCCGAAATTGGTAGTTCGATATGGGCCAGCTATGGCTCTTCGCGGACTTTGCGGTTGCAGCTTTCGGAAAGCTCTGCCTGGCGTTTGTTCAAAAATAATGCAAATAATTAAGCACTTCGATTGCTGATTTTTACGAAATGAAAAAGTGAGTGACCGTCTGTAAAAACGGCGGAGAATACCAAAGATGATGGTTGTAAGTCAATTAGAGAAGGCACACGTTCGCTTAAGCGATAGTTTAAGTCTTAATCGATATTTTCAATTAAATTATTTCATTCGTTAATATTAGTTTGCTGAAATGGTTAACTGTTTTATCAGGAACTTTGTCTGTTCCCGCAATGCCTAGTACAGCACCTATGGTTTTTCAAATATCCTACAATTGTTAGCTCTGCAATGCTGTACAAGTAGACCTGTTTTTCATATGGCGTTAGTTAAATGATCTATGGTTTTATGCCTTATCATTGAATCAGTTTACCTTGATCAAGATAATTAATTTAAGTAAGTGAACAGTTTTTGTTAATCTGAAAAAAAGTTGTACCTAAGAACAATAAATTCATATTTGGGTCTAGCTAGGTCGTTCTAAATTTATTTGGCGGTGGCATAAAACGAGCAGGATAGATATTTAAAAGTTAATCATTTTATTTCTTAAGTTATTGCAAACAATAAATCTGTGGTTTCTTCACCTATAGTTTGAATATATGTAGTTTCTGAATCAAAATGTTATTTTTCTGCTATAAATAAGTAAGATCGCCCAAAAAATTCAAACTAAGATCGCAATTCCCGCCTTGCATCCTATCTCTAACGCCAATTAACGGCTCATCACTCGTTTGATACTTTTATTGCAGCCCTGCGCACACCCACACACGCACAGACACACGTACGCGCTCAGCGATTACCAGAGAGAGTTTTCGAGTTTTTGTTTAGTTTTATTTGATTGCAACTCGAATTAAAGGCTGAGACGAGCGCAGCGCACAACAATATAATTGCGAGGTCGATAAGAAATACGGTAGGGGAAAAGCTCTAGCCGCTTCGAAGCTCAGAAGACTGGACTTCAGAACTCGAACTTTGTCACCAGCGCATCCAAAACGTCGCCCCAAAAATTTATGAATAATAATAATAATAAAATAACGAAAGACAACAAAAGGGGGCCCCGAAATCGGTTTGCAACACCCGCGGATTGCACACAATAATTAGGTAATTTGTAAGCGACGTTCACCTGTTTAATCGGTGAACTTGGCACCGTCTGCCCAAATACATATATATCTTATCGATCGAGTACACTGGCTAATCTCCAGATAATCTTGCAGGAATGGCGGCGATTGAGGAGCGTTTCCAGGCGGCGGTCAACGTGATCAAGGGCCTGCCCAAAAATGGACCTTACCAACCCAGCACCAGTATGATGCTCAAGTTCTACGGACTATTTAAACAGGCTACCGAAGGTGGATGCGATCAGAAGAAGCCCGGTTTCTGGGACATTGTCGGCAAGGCCAAGTGGGATGCCTGGAATGATAACCGGCATTTGACCAAGGAGCAGGCCATGCAACGATATGTGGAGAGCCTTCAAGAGATCATCGAAACCATGTCCTTTACAGAAAACGTACAGAACTTTGTAGGCAGCCTTGATGGTCTGGGAAACATTAGCCTGGACGAACTGGAGCTGGTTTCACCCGGCATGCGGGAACTGGCCGAATCGCATCCCAACTCGCCGTTTCATTCGCGCACCAACAGTCCACAGCACGGGTCCAGTTGCAATAGCGAGGCGGAGGTGGAAGTGGAAGTGGCTGCCACACAACCGCTGGCCTCGTCCGAAACGATAAAAGAGAATGGCCACAGTTCGCCGCCATTGACCAATGGTTTTGTTCACAAATCTGCAAGCTTCACACAACACGACACAACTCACAACTATACCAGCAACAGCAGTGTGGCCATTGTGGAGCCCTCGGACGATGAATACGACGATCCCTATGACCTCAGCCATGAGCTGACAGAGGCGATTGCCCAGAACACGGACTTGCTGCGTCAAATCCAAGCGGCCATCTCCCGGATGAATAGCGATGTGGGGGCAGTGCAGCAAAGGGTGCGCAGCCTGGAGCAGTCGCTAAACGAGTTTCGAACTGGACAGAAGGCAGCGAGGGGAGCGGTGAGTCAGCCACGATCACTGCCCGCCTGGTGGCCCTTCAGGAACATCTCCCCGCTCTGGTTCGCCGTCCTGGTCCTGTGGCCTTTCCTGGTGCGACGCTTTGCGCGGATGCTGCAGACCACTCCGCAGCGCAGACACTGACGCATAGGAGGAACAATTTTAGCGGGATAAAAATGTGGTAGTTAAATTGTAAGTACCTTTTATTCTTAGACTTTGTAAATCCAGATTTTTAGGGAGAATCGACTCTTCTTTAACTTTAGTTTTCAACAATATTAACAATTAATTCTCATAGTTTCCTAGCAATTCCCCTATATATCAGTTTATCACGCTCTTTATTGTTTATATTCAATAGGAATTCCCGTAAAGATTCATGATCATATGGAACCTGTTTGGTAGCGAAAGCTTTTACATCTTATATTGTACATATTTGCATTTCATTAACATATTCAAGGAAACGGTCACTAAGCAAACTCAGGTTGTTGAATATCGTTAAGTATTTGAACAAGGGAAAGTGCTTTTGGCTCTTGAGTTCATACTTCTTATCAGTAATTAGGGTTTAATTGTAGACAGAGTTGGCAAATACTTAATATCTGGGAGTACCTTCTGGCTTAATTTATTTATTGGCAGGTCCAAAAGTGCTTTGATTATATAAAATTCTGTAACACATTAAGATCAACATATTAATATAATATTACCCTTTTCATTTTCAGTTACCTTTGGTTACGGGCACAAGCTTGGTCTTTCGCTTTCTTCTTTCCTCGAAAGCGCTTCAGTTATTGTACAGAGTTGGCCTTATTTATACTTTTCTAACCCCAGGGTTATCCAGTTGCAATACTTTACCTTTTTTATATACGTCTATAGGTATATTGAATGTATATTTATTTTGTACACACAAATCGCGACCTTTTTTGTCACATTCCCCATCTGATTTAGTTTGTAAGTCGAATGTTTTTGGCACTTTTGTCTGGCAGGAGGCGTATTTTAGCACGCTAAAAACGCAGTCCTGCTAAATACGGTTGTAAGCGTATACTTTATTGTGCATTATTTTGTTATTAATTATAATTTTTGTAATAAAGTCATACTTGAAAGAAAACCATTTGTATCCTTAGGGCTGAGGAGTGATCCGGAGATAACTCTTTCCGGAAGGAACTTCAATTGTTTCGATGCCATTGGGAAAGAGCTTTGGAACATCTTCGTTTTTAACGGTTGGCAAAACCATGCACTTGCCGCCCTTTTGCCAATCTGCAGGCGTGGCCACGCTCTTTGTTTGGGTCAAATGAAGTGAGTCGATGACTCGAAGAATTTCACTGGAATGGGGCACAAGAAAAAGATAGTTAAATATTTGATCTTTGAAGTGTATAAATTTATTTATATTTCATGGTAAGTTTGTAATCGCTTCCATAGCCTTAATCATTATAAGCATCGTATATAGTTTTGAGTAAACTGCATTAAATAATTATATTTTACTACGTTTATATGCACGATTTGTTAATATGAAAAATTACAGATCGGGGTTATTATCAACAGTTTGTCTGATATTAAAATGATTAAATGTAAAGCGATGAAGTTTTGGTAATTATTTTAATTCAATTTAAAATCATTTTGAATGTTAGAAGTATAAAGATGAACATACAATTCTTAAACATACACGTAAGATACTCACTCGAAATTGCGACCTGTGGTAGCAGGATACAGGATGGATAAGCGTAGCTTCTTTTTGTCATCCACAACGAAAACTGCGCGACAGGTAAGAGGAATACCCTCAGCATTGAGCTCATCCTTGTCCAGCATGTTGAACTTCAGGGCCAGTTCCCGCTTATCATCCGCGATGATGGGATAATCGAAGCTGTTAAGCTCTGTAATCGGAAACTTGATTAGAAGGATTCTTAACACAAGACCCAAACTGAACCCACTGCCAAAGCTCTTGATATCCTCGATCCAACTCTTGTGCGATTCTACGGTGTCACAGGACAAAGCAATTGGCTTGACTCCTCGCTTGAGGAATTCCGGAACTAAGGCCGCCACTCTGGCCAATTCCGTAGTGCAGACCGGCGTAAAATCCGCCGGATGGGAGAACAGAATAGCCCAGCTATCGCTCATCCAATCGTAAAAATCTATTTTTCCCACACTCGTTTCGGCAGAAAAGTTGGGAAACTGATCACCAATATTTAAGGCCTTGCCCGACATAATGGTTGGTTTAAATAATTAGGGATAGCGAGGAACCTGGGTTTATACGAAACAAAATTGCCGCAAAATTGGAATCAGCTGATTGCGTCAGGGTGACCGTTTTAATTGTAAGCTAAGCACCAGGGCTACAGTTAACGATTGAGTCGGAGCTTACGTTAAAAAACAATGCGCCTTATTAATTAAGTTTTAAATTATTTTCTCAGTTATAAATAATACAAATAAGACAACTAGTATAGTGTCTGAAAATTACATAAATGTCGACTTATCATAATCATAAAAAGTCCAGTCAACCGAACCAGTTCAGTTTTTATTGCATCCCTGCTTATTACACACAATATACTCAAAATCGCGCATGGTAAACACAATTAATTTTTCGTATTTATTTTAATTCCCCTCGAAGGAAGAAACCATGACTGATCTGAGCATCAGTGGACAGCAGGTGCTACCAACACCACCTCCACCAACAGTGCCGGAGCCCTTCAGGATCACCACGAATGCCCCACACCAGATGAACGATGCCAGTTTGACGCCCGGAAGAAGGAAGCTGCAGAAATGGTTGGGACGTGTCCTTCGAATCGTCATCACTGATGGACGTGTCCTGGTGGGATTCTTCAATTGCACCGATCGGGATGCCAACATCGTACTGTCCATGTGCGCCGAGTACTTGGTGGAGGGCCAGGAGCCCCGGCTGTTGGGCAACGTCATGGTTCCGGGCAAGCACATCGTATCACTCAACATCGACGAGCCTGATCCGCAGTCCAGTCTCCTGGTGCAATAGCTGTCAGTCCGCTATTAGATCTTTTATGTTAATAAACCCGTATAAATAAATTTTTTCGAGTACGCTTATAAAACTTCACGGTGGTGATGATAGATACATATATTTACAAGGCAAGAGGATGATGCTCTGACCCTATTAAGCACTCGTATTATTTCTTAATCAGTGTCAACCATGTTTGTAGGGGTCTCCGGATTTTGCAAAATTAATGAATCGGGATTGTAGTGACTGGTTTAAACAAAAATTAACTTCATTGTACCATACATGCCTTCCAACCTTTTATGAAAACACTACAAGCCTAAATCCTCATATCAAAAAGATAAAACTTACCATGAGCGAATACCAATTGCCGATTTTGCATTTACAATAAATTATATTGGATAATCTTTTAATTTACCCTAACCGAAGCTTGATTGAACCTTTGAGCCCCCTTTTATTTAATCATAAATAAATATGAACCAAATACCCTTTTCTGCATACACTCACATATTTTTAAATTAGGCGCACTCTTTACTTTTTTTAGTTATGAGGGAAATACCGACTTGTTAGTTAGCGTTATGCCAACTACCCTGACAACCCTACAGAGATATAATAAAGACGGCTGACAAAAACAATAAAATAATGGATGCAACTTCAGCAATTACAGGCGATGTGGATAAAACACAGGTAAAGGAGCTATAACTGAAGATAACAGACACTGCCACAAATTAGTTCTTCTAGATACCGCCGCTGAATCAGAAGCGCATCCTGGCCTTCGTCAATCACTTCCTCGTCAGCACTTGCACCTTTCTAAATGAGTTCGCCCTGGGCTGTGAGACCAAGTTTGTGGAGATGGAGCGACAATTGCAAAAGACCGAGGCGGCTCTCATTATTTTAGAGGCCAAGCTGGCTTCCATACCCACCGAGCACCATGTGACGGAAGAGGCCCCCAGTATCCCAGCGCCATCCACGGAAACCAGTCCGCTTGAAGTTCCCATTTTGGATTTAGAACTCCCAGCCGGTGACAATGAACCGGGAGAACCGCAAGCCCCACCGGAATCCTTAGGAGTGCGAGCTTGCGAGGATCTGCGCTACAGAAAGTTCTTTAAAATGGTTCAAGTTGGAGTGCCTGCGCCTGCAGTAAAGCAGAAAATGCAATCCGAAGGCCTGGAGCCTCGTCTTCTAGAGTAAGAGGAATGCTTATTATTCCTGTAAACTATATCAACCGCATGTTGTATTCCAGCACCCCTGATTTGATCCTGGCAGATGGTCTGCGTGAGTGAGGTACTTGAAGGAGCCAACAAGCACAACTTGTGATATAGCACACCGTGCTACTCTTTTCAATTAAACATTTTGGTAAAGCTTTACGTCTACAATTTAATTTGTTTTATTTGCCACTATGAGGCGGCTCGAAAACAACTTAAAACCACTTCGATAGCAAAAAAGGTTCGGTTGGATGAAGGAGCCCGTCTAGAACTGGATCATCTGTCCCTTGCGCTTCTTGTCGCCGCCCAGCTCGAAGTGCTTGCAACGCTTCAGGGGAGTCTGCTTGCGGAACTTGCACTCAGTGCATTCCATACGCAGCACAATCTTCTTGGTGGTCTTGGCCTGAAATGGAATAAGAAATCAGGATAAGCAAGGAGAACGCTGTGGTTAAGGGAGCGGAATGTTGTCAGAAGCTGCAGGTGAGGCGCCATTGGCATGAATGCCACATGACGGTGCCTTCTCGGCCGCACCAGTGCAACAACAATTTTGATCTGGCACAGTTTGTTCCCACCAAAAAGCCGAATGCTCAACGAGCGCAGCGATTTAGTTCTACGAAGCGCCATTTTGGGGAACCACTTGCTACCAAGACTGTCGGGTATTCTATCAGGAATGAACAATTAAGTTGAAAAATGGAATAGCACACGAAAATTGTTCCTGGATCTACGACAGTCTGGTGACAAGTGGGACGGGAGGGCGGTCTTTAACCGGACGAGACTCACCTTCTTCCTGAAGATGGGCTTGGTCTGACCACCGAAACCCTGCTGCTTCCTGTCGTAACGCCTCCTGCCCTGAGCACCCTTGCGCTCCTTGGACTTCTTGTACTGCGTCACCTTGTGCAGCTTGTGGACCTTGCACTTCTTGCAGAAAGTGCGCCGTTGTTTTGGTACGTTCACCTGGCGGGCGGAAAACACAGAAATCAATTGGTATTTGAAATTTTTTAGTCAGCGACACTCGATATTTTCGAGCCTATCAGAAACGCACGTATAGCTCGGCGCGGCCCTCGACATTGCGCTCGCGGTGCCAGCCACGCTGCCATATCTGCCTGCGCAACGGCCCGAATCCATCTCGGTCATATTTTACGCGGATTTTCGGCAATTCGAAGAACAATAACGTACCATCTTGATTTCAGGTTGCGAAAAAGATGCAAAATTGCACTATTTCACTAGCACGTGTTTGTAAAATTCAAAATTGCCCAATCGCAACTTCTCCGGAAACGAAGCGAAAAGAAAAGGAAAGAAGAAGAGTCGCTAGAGGCGAGCAGCAATTAGTGTGGCTGTGTTGGGCCGCGTAAGAATCGTGGATTTGCGAGCGAGTTGGTTATAGTTGCTACGTACCATAGTACTTCTTTGTACTGGTCCATCACTACTTCGGGCTTTGTATTATAATTAACCAAACAAAAAACAAACATCCCACGGGCCGGATTCATATCCGAAATCAAAGGGGGCTGTTTTTAGAAACGCCGCCCGTAATAATAGGCTTTTATACTCAAATCCTCAAAAAATTAAAAATATCGATAGTCGATTAAGCGCTTTATTAGCCTACATTTTCTAATACAAATTTACGTTTGGAGCTGCAAAGAGGGTGCTCGCAATGTTCACCCACCACGACATTTAAATATGTTTAAAAACTAATAATAAACTGATACATTTTTTAAAAAATGATTACATATCAACAATGGACCGAAATGAATTTCTGGAACATAGTTCAATTCTGCAACATAAGAACTTCAAAAAATACGAAACAATCAATTTTCGATTTGCGAAACGCACACACCAAACAGAAAACATTCCATAACGCCTACACTTAACGAGGCTCAAATGAAATGGTAGAAGAAAAAAGAAAGATGAATGTTGTGACCCATTCACCTGTGTGAACCTACTATTGCAAAATCAGCTGAACTCACTGAAGTGCAAAGAAAAAAATTCAAAATGGCTTGCAAATTATTTAAACAAAACTTTTTCGATTATAAGTCATAGTATTTATTTTTGAATTAAAAAGCTGATTTTTAAAGTTCGTTTTGTCAGTACCTGCATATTCACCAAATACCAGATAAAGCTTTAGATTTGTAATTTAATTTGTTTGATAAATTGCCAAATAGGCAACGACATTAAATTTGAAACAGCACAAAAATATACCATAATTTTTGCTTTATTGCTACAGGCGTACGTTATACGTAAAAATAAATACAACGAATCAACATTTTTGAGGCATAAACAGCCTAGCTGAACCAGCCCTTTCTGTTTAGCGAGTTCCACTTGGCTATGTTCACCAAAATGGAGGCCACACACTGGTCCTTGTCCCGACTTTGACCGTAGTAGTCCACAAAGTCACCGTCTGGATTGACCAGGTACATGATGATGGTGTGGTCAACGATGTAGTCGTTGTCCTCGTCTCGCGGTCCGGCGCTGAAGTAAACCCGGAAGGCCTTGCACACATTGCGGATCTGGTCGACGGTTCCAGTGAGACCCAGGAGTTTGGGCGAGAACTCCTTCACGTATTTGGCCACCACCTCCTTGGAGTCACGCTCCGGGTCCACGGTGATAAAAATGGGCTGAACTGCCGGTGCTTGGGGTGATTTTTCTGTGCGAAAAGTCATTGCTTTATCAGACAGAAGGTGAATTTGCAGGCTTACATACCCACTTCGTCTACAACGGCGGCCATCTTCTCCAGCTCATCGGGACAAATGTCTGGGCAGTGGGTAAAGCCGAAGTAGATAAGCAGCCACTTGCCCAGGAAGTCCTCCGATTTGCGCACCGCTCCCTGGGGGTCCACCAGTTCCCACCTGCCGCCAATGGCCGCCTTTCCCAGCTGTCGCTGGCGTTCCTTTAGCCGCGCCTCGTCCTTCTCACTCTTCACGTACAGCATGAAGCCCAGCCCACCGGCTCCAAGTGCTCCAATGACGGCCAGGCTTCTCCAGGAGATCGGACCCTTCCCCTTTGTTGCATCTGCCGGAGCAGCATAGTGGCGGATAGCTGGCTGCTGTGCCCAGCGCCGACAGCTGCCCATTAAGCGTTGCAGGGAGCGGGACATCCTGCGGCTAGGTTTCAATAACTTTCAAGATTTACGTAAAACTTCTGGAGAAATAAAAATCTCGCCGGTGCCCTGCTTCTTCTTCTTCTACTTGACAGTCACACGGAAGGGCTTTCCGTATGGTATATTTTAGTGATAAATTTATTATATTATTTTGGTATTCCGACCGCGGTCTTATTGTTTCCAACACGTGCGGTTAAATTTTGTTAAAATTATTAATAAAACCACTGGGAAAATGACAAGCACGAAGCGCAAGGAGCCGCTGCTGTACATGGAGGAGTACCGGGTCAAGCAGGATCCACAGGATTATGGCCTGGCCGACGATGTCTTCAGCATTGAAGCGTTCAAAGAGAAACTGCAAATAACCATCGTGAGGTGTGTTTTTTTTCTGGTTCTGGACAGGATTAACAAGTCTTTTATTGCAGGAATGACGAAGAGGGCTTGGAGTTCGATCTGATAGGAGTTTACCCGGCCATAGCTAATGCCTTCCGTCGACTGATGCTCAGCGACGTCCCCAGCATGGCCATCGAAAAGGTGTACATATATAACAACACTTCGATTATCCAGGACGAGGTACTGGCCCATCGGATGGGCCTGCTCCCGCTGCGTGCGGATCCCCGGCTATTCGCCTATCGCACGGAAGAAAGCACCGAAGCGGGCACTGAGCAGGATACGCTGGAGTTCGAGCTGAAGGTGAAGTGCTCGCGGCGTCGGGATGCGGGAAAGGACCAGTCGAACTTTGATGACATCTACAAGAATCACAAGGTGTACTCTGGCCATCTTAAGTGGCTGCCGAAAGGAAAGCAGGCGCAGATCTACAGCGAAAGTGCAGTGAACTGCATTCATGAGGACATACTGATTGCCCAACTCCGACCGGGTCACGAGTTGGACCTACGCCTGGTAGCTGTTAAGGGAATCGGCCGTGATCACGCCAAGTTCTCGCCAGTGGCTACGGCCACTTACCGACTGCTGCCACAGATTAAACTAAATCGAGAGGTCTCTGGCAAAGATGCATACCTTCTGCAAAGCTGCTTCTCACCTGGTGTGATTGGCATTGACGAAAACGAGACTGCCTATGTGAAGGATGCGCGCTATGACAGTTGCAGCCGGAATGTATATCGCTATCCGCAGCTCAACGATGCTTTGACTTTGGCCCGCGTCCGAGATCACTACATCTTTTCCGTGGAGTCGGTGGGCGCGCTCAAGCCCGATGTTATCTTCCTGGAGGCCATCAAGGTGCTGAAGAAGAAGTGTCGAGCATTTATCGACGAAATTGATGCGGAATAGATTTATTTATTTAAAAGATTATTCTATGTACATAAGAAAACTAAACTTGATAAAAAATGTAAGCCTAAGAACTCCGCTTGTTTTCCCTCTTACGCTTAAGAATTTTCAGGCGGAATTCTGTGAGCACCACCTGCAGGCGCTCCTGACAGAGCAGTGCGTCCTCCAGGTCCATGTTATTGAGCTGCAACGCCAGGCTTTTGCCAAACAGGTCAAATTCACTGATAATGGCGTCTTCCGAGATGTCATCGTCATGTAAGTCGACGTGCAGATCAGGTTCGTCTTGCTTAATGTGGATCATCTCCTCCTCTTCGTATGCCTCCTGCTCGTGAACATCTTGATGCTCATGCTCTTCGACGAACTCGTTCTCAACCACATACTCCTGGGCCAACGGCTCGGTTCTCAAGAGATCATCCAGGATTGAATCGTTCGAGGCGATTTCATCGTCCTCCATGCGCTCCTCCTTTAGTTCGTGCTTCATTTTTGGCTGCATCTTGCTTTTCAGCTTGTGTTTTGGTTTGGGCTTAGCCTTTGGCTTGAGTGTAGTAATAGAAGCCAACAGTTCGGGATTATTCTCATCCTTACAGAGCTCACTCTTTACCACTGTCTGTAAGTTTAAATTAAAATTTTTATTATGGTAAAAATGGATTGGCGGAAAGCAGATGATAAGTTATCCGGCAGCAAAGGGGTACATACTAAACAACTATTCTAGATTTTATGATAGATCTGAAGTCATACTGAATAATATGGCTACCAAATTAGTTGAATTTTGATCAGCATACTAAAGATTTCACTTTGAAACCAATTTAGGTATAGCTTAAAAGCTGACTGAAGGGTATTATAGTAAAAAATGTGCCACATCTTATTTTGTTTTGAAGTCGGACCATTAAATACATAGCATCCTACATCGTTCATTCCTATTGCTTATGGATAGTCCCACCTGCGATAGAATGGCGGTGCATTTGAAACTTTCCTGGTGCTTCCGCGTGATGAGATGTTGTTTGATGGACGCCAATCTGGCCAGGACGTTCGCGTCGCAGATAACGCAGTGCGCCGAGTAGCCATCGTTGCTGGGGCGAAGCCAGCCGGAGAACTCAGGAATCTTCTCCCATTCGGTGCGGTACCTCTGGTGGTACAGTCGCTTCACTTTCTTGTCCTCGGGGTCAGACTTATACACTTTTATCATTGCCCTGCTTTCGAACGAGCGGTTCCTCGGAATTAGTTAAAAATCTTGCTTTTAAAGATGAGCGCCAAAAATAGTCTTTTAATAACTGCTAATTGTAAATATTTTGGTATATTCTGAAATATATTTGCGACGCGAAAAAAATCTGAAAGTCAATGCAGTGTGACTGCGATTTTATAGGTTAGAATACCAACAATGGCGGCCAGGGCTGCATTAAGTATTGTTGGTCCAGAACGGCCACACTGGTGGCTAGCGCTAACGGTCTTTTCGTTCGTTTCTTTAAAAATGGGTTTATTTAATATTTACTTTAATAATTTTTTTAGTTTTTATAAATATTGTTGTCCTTTGCGGCCTTTAAACTTTGTTAATTCCTTTTAAGATATTTTTATTAGAATCGTGATTGGTTGTAGTCTCCGGTAAATTTGTTTATAAATGAACTTTCATAACACGGTCATACTGGTTGCATTGCGATGACAGACTAGCAACGAAAAAACTGAAAAAATTGTAAATAAAAAGTTTCCTTGAAATACTAGACAACGTTCGTTTGCTAGGCAGGCAGCGTCCTGCCAACATGGTCATTCCAAAGGAGATCCTGAGCGATTACAAGGAGTTGTACGAGAAGGCCAACCGGCTGGTGGAGGAGGAGAGTCGTAGTGATCCTCCCACTGACCCTTTTCGCTCACATTACAAAGCCCGCGATGTTCTTGGCGATTTAAAAAGACAGCTGGACGACCAACTAGTCTCTGTCCAGGCCAGCGAGGAGGACGGCGGACAGGATGATCTGTGCTATCGCTCCCTCCTGGCCTTCGTCTGTCGGGATCTGGGTAGGATCTACATCTACACAGAGGAACAGTCCGAGGGCGAGAAACTACTTAATCGTTGTCTGGAACTAGTCACACCGCTCAAGGAGCTCCCCGAAGGCATTATTCCCTTCATTGGAGCCATCAACGAGCTGAGCATTGTACTGGCCTCGAAGGAGGACTACAAAAAGGGTCTGGAAATACTCATTCAGGCGGATACCAGCTACGAGGAGTTTAAGGCCAGCGGTATACACCCTCTGGCTATTCAGGATATATTCAACCCCCCGGAGGATGGACAGGAACCTCCAGCGGCGGGACCCAAAGAGCTGGAATCACTGTACACCCTGGTCTCCTTTTACATGGCCCAAATGTACGGCCATTTGGGGGAGCCAGAGAAGTCGGCCAGATGCTGCCATCGCACCCTGCACCGGCAACTGGAGTACAAGACGTACGATCCCATTGATTTCGCGCTAAACACAGCCACTTTGTCGCAGTTCTACATTGGAGAAGAGCGCTTTCAGGAGGCGCGACATCACCTGGCCGCCGCCACGCTTATCATGGCCGAGTACGAGACCCACATGTTACAGCCGGAGATGAGCGAGAAGCAGCGCCAGGACGTGTCGGAGACCTTTAAACATCGCTACGCCGATGTGGCCCGCTGTTGGGCCAAGTACGGATTGTATTTAATGCACACTTCCAAGCTCCGTCTGATGAGGGACGAGGATGACGAGGAGGCCAAGAGCCTGGAGAAGGTGATGCGTAACCTCCGACTGGCCGAGGCAAAGCAGTCTCGGTTTCCTGGTCTCGATCTTACCGCCTGTGAGAATCGAATTAGTTGTGAGTATTGCTTGACCTTTGACGATGCCAAGCTGGTTTTCCATTTCGTTAACGAGTGGCTTGACACTGCCAAGGACTATTACAAGGCGGAGGACGAGGCCACCGAATACTCCAAGATCATGCAGGACTACGCCGAGGCTTACGAGCACATTGCCTTCTTCGAGGAGAATCCGGAAAACCAGGCTAAGATGCAAAAACGGCGCGCCAAGTATCTGGAGGATCTGCTAGATCTGCTTGACCCCATCTTCTACATGAAGATCTGCAGGGAATGCTGGTACGGCGCCGGAACAGCGCATGCCGCTGTGCTAGATGTCCGTCTCGACATCATTCGGGCCACGAGCACCCCGTCGCCTGAGGAAATTAAGAAGGTCAACCAGAGCTGCATGAAGGCCATCAAGCATTTTGAAAGCTATGTTAAATCCTATCTGGCCAAACCGCAGAGCGAGGAGTGGCGTCCCAACATGGACGTGGAGGAACAGCGTCACATGCTCTACGCCCACTTCCACATTGGACGCATCTACTACAAGCTGATCAGCGCCCATCCGCTTCAGCAGCTGGAACACCTTGCCAATTGTCACACCTACTACAAGAGATTCGATGCCGGTTGTGAGCTGCACAAGGAGGCAGCCGAGCCATTGCAGGGGGAGATTGGAGTGGTGCGCGAAATGCTGCAGCTGCTGCCCCTTAAGATGAACACGGTCAAGGCGAGGTTGGGTTAGACCATAGTTATCTTATCCTGACACAACAATTTCCAAAAAATGAGTTGCATTTGCCGAAAGCTTTATTAATAGTCCAAATAAAACGCTGTGCTAAAGGATAACTTTAGTTTATAATTTATTAAATGGGTTTTATTATCTCATTTTTAAAATATAGAAAAGATTCAAATTTGTCTAAGGATTAAAGGATTAATCAATGACTTAAGATTTTAAGTCAGACTTAATAGATAATGTTACTCAATAAAACTAAGATATATAAAACCAAGTATTCCACGTTAGTAGGAAAACGAAAGCAGAATTTGTTGTCAAATTTAAATAGTTATTGTAAAATTGAAAAATAAAATTCTCTGTTCTATCACCCTTAGATTTTAGTTCTATTTATTTATAGATGCTGATTTTGATATTGAATAAATTTAACCATCTTCTTAAACCAAAAATAAATCAATTCAAAGTTGTTGAAAATTTAATTCTGATCGGGTCATACATATTTAAATCGTATGACGTAAATTTTTCCTGTACTGTTTTGTAAACTTGTAAAAAATTAAAAAATAATATTTTCTAATCTAGCTTTTCTCTGGCTAGTTTAAAAACTCGACAGCCCTGGCTGCCAGCCATTCACATGCAAACAGCTGTTTTTCCAAACAGGAAGAGGAAGAGCGCCATAAAAAGTTGTTGGCCTGGTCAAAATCAGGGAAATATAGTTAAATTGCTTAATCTCAACTGCCACCAAAGTTTTTAGTTAATAAGAACGATATACTGCTAGTTGGTTTCTCGCAAAATGGCGCACGCCACACCACAGGTGAGTAATTGTCCAGATAATACGAAGGAAACTGGCAGCGCGCCGCGTTGTGTCTGTGACGCAATAGCTACTTTAACTTTCGTAAACCCTATGGAATAACAAATGGCTTAATCCTCCGGCAGGGCGTCAAGCTGTTAAACGGATGGAAGCGTCCGGGCCGCTTTGACAAGGGTCTGGGTGCCCAGCTGCCCGAGGCGTACAGGAAGTTCTGGCGCGAGTGGAAACTGACGACTCCGGCCGCCGTTCATTACATCCCCAAGGAGCGCGAGTGGGAACGTGATGAGGTGACGCATGCCATCAAGCCGGTGCAAAACATACCGCTGCCATTGATCGACACCCCAGAATCGCACCAGGGCATCTGGGGCGGCGAGGCGGTGATCAAGGGCTTCCAAAAGCGCCAGCAGACGAAGCGTCGCGTCCCGCACTTCTGGGTGCCCAATCTTCGACGTTCGGTGGTGCACAGCCATGTATTGGACTCGTACATGTCCGTGGTAGTGACGGAGAGGACGCTGGAGCAGATCCACGAATGCCATGGCTTCGATCACTATCTCCTCAAGAATCGGGCCTGCGACCTTCGTTCAGCTCTGGCCCTAAAACTCAAGCGGGAAGTGCTTCAGGCCCTGCAGAAAGGTGTCCCAGCCTTGGCTGACGAGCCCGAGCGCCAGCAGGACGTGCTGAAGGAGTACAGCCGTTATCTGGAACCGTATACGCCCGAGGAAATCGATTGGTACGGCCATACCTATCTGGGGGCCATACGCAAGCTGCAGAATCAGCTGCGTGAGGCGGAAAAGGTGCTGCCGCATAAGTTGGAATTCCGGAGCAAGCTGATCGACCAGCTAAGGCAGGCGGGGATCAGCGAGGCTGGAAAGCTGGAAAAGCCCGATGTACTGGCGGGATCTTCAGTTGAGCACAAGGATTCAGACATCGAGGCGCTAACAAAGCTGTAAGTCTCATAAAAGTTTATCTAAGGTGGCAGAGAAACATTTAAAGATTGGGCTTTTTAAAGTATTTCTCAAAAAAGTTTTTGAACCCAATCAAAAAAAATATTTCTCTGTTGCAAAGATGAACTTTAATTTGTAAAAGTTTACCAACAAATTTATGATTTTTTTCAGGGAATCCTCGCCCTCCTCCAGTTGGCTGTCCAAGATCAATCCTTTCGGCAAGAAAGAAACATAGACCAGTTGCCCTCGTTTGTTTTTGATTTTTGTGTTTAGACTTGAAAGAATAAACATAATTTCGGAAACATTTCGTTACAATTCGACAGTTTCAAAGTGTATAGTTTAAACGTATTTATTGCAAATATTCGTTAGATTTGGTAAAGTGTATAAAAACAATTAGAATCACACACAGAACGTGAACGTACGCAGCAAAGTAAAAAAGGAATGATTGCAAATCCCTAAGAGAATACAGAAAGACATTCACAGCGGTGACAAATCGAATACAGTGATCACTATTCACGCTTAGAACTATGGTTAGTGTATAGCTCCGCAAGCGGGCAGAGAGCTTTGTGCCGTGTTAAGTCCCAATCCGGGCTTCCAGGCCCTAGGCGATGGGGTTCTTTTTCATCAACTCGATGTCAGCCTTCATCATGTCGCTGACCAGCTCCAGGAAGCTAACTTTAGGCGCCCAGTCGAGCTCCCGTTTAGCCTTGGAGGCATCGCCCTGCAGCAGATCCACCTCCGTGGGCCGAAAATACTTTGGATTGATACGAACGCGTACAACGCCTGTGCTGCTCTCCACGCCCACCTCGTCCACACCCTTGCCCTGCCACGTTATCTCGCGTCCGATATGCTTAAATGCGGCTTCCACGAACTCGCGCACACTGTGAGTTTCGCCCGTGGCAATGACATAGTCAGTGGGCGAGTCCCTTTGTAGCATCATCCACATGGCCTCCACATAATCACTGGCATGTCCCCAGTCGCGTTTCGAGTCAAGGTTGCCCAGCTCAAAGTACTCCATTTGTTTGAGCAGAATCTTGGCCACACTACGGGTTATTTTCCTGGTCACAAAGTTCTCTCCACGTCGTGGACTCTCGTGATTAAAGAGAATGCCGTTGCAGGCGTACATGTTGTAGGCCTCCCTGTAGTTGATGACGATCCAAAAGCCGTACATTTTGGCGCATGCTAAAGTTGGAGATGAAATTAATTGATACATTTACGGAATGTAGTGAAGCTGTTTTACCATATGGCGACCTTGGATAAAACGGTGTCTGTTCATTCTGTGGTGTCTCCACCACTTTTCCATAGAGCTCCGAAGTGGAGGCTTGGTAAAACCTTACGGTTTTTTCCATGCCACAAGTGCGGATGGCGTCCAGAATGCGAAGTGTGCCCACGGCATCCACCTCAGCCGTGTATTCACTCAGGTCAAAAGAGACCTTTACATGGGACTGTGCCGCCAAATTGTAGATCTCCGTAGGCTTCACCATATTGATGATCTTGACCAGGCTGCTGCTGTCCGTCATGTCTCCATAGTGGAGCTTCATCCGGCCGCCCTTGTGCGCCTTGGGATCGGCATAAAGATGCTCGATGCGTGTGGTGTTGAAGGTGCTGGCTCGTCGGATAATGCCGTGCACCTCGTAATCCTTCTTGAGCAGGAACTCTGCCAAATAGGAGCCATCCTAGAAGAGAGGCAATAAAGAGTAATTAAACAATATGAACACGTAAGCAATCTATTGAAGGGATGTCCCAAAAGCAAACGTGACTAATAGTAATAATTACACACCTGGCCGGTTATGCCTGTTATCAGCGCCACTTTATCACGGGAATCGCCTCCGGCGCCGGTCGCCGTTCCATTTTGCTCCAGGCTGCCATTGCTGCTGCTTTCAGGACGTGGCTTTTTGCTTTCCGGGGCTCCCTCGGAGGAGGACATGTTAATTAACCGGGTTTTTAAAAGGTTATATTCGCAGTTTTTTTTTTACATCAGCGTAGCCCGCAGAATAAACAAATTTTATCTTCAGCGCACAGGTAGAGTTGGAAGAATAATCGATTTGCTATCGATACATCGGGTCAGTGGGGCAAGCTAGAATATAGGTTTAACAAGTAAAGCGAACGAAAGCAATTGTAATTGGGGCCTTATGGATTAAATGTTATTTGTATTAACTTTTAAATTGGATTCCAAAGGCAACTGCATTTATTTAAAGACTACTACATAGTCATAAAAAAGCAAGACATGCAGGTTTGTTTAATTTTTCTATTTACCCTGTGTACCACGGTGCGGCAGTGTTGTACAGCGCCAAAAACCACGTAGTGATTTTTACCGCACACCTTTTGGGGAAAGTCAGACGAAAATAACATACCGTTTGGCAGCGCATTGGATAAGATACAACCACCTATCTAATCATTCCGCCTCCACTCCCAAGCCGATCCGATTCACCACCGAGCAGCAATCTCTTCTTCGGCTTCAGCATTACGTGTGCGCCAACGTCGGCTTTCCATTTCATTCTTAGATCGGCCGGCCAGCTTGATAACACCCGGTGCATAGCGAAACTAGAGGGCACTTACTAATTAAGTACGACTGCGACCTCCGTGATAAACAGAAGGAAATAGAAATTGTCCGCAGCACAAAATGACGGATCTTATCAAGCAGGGAGCTCTGTTCCTAATGAGCGAAAAGTGCTATGATAACTACTTCCTGGAGCACAACTTCCTGGACAGTGAGTGGTTGCCCGAGTGCAATTAATACCTTTTAACAATCTGTTAACTTGTCTTGCAGTTCCCTGCTTTAAGGCTTTGCTGAGCAAGGGTCTGGGATTGGCAATTATTGCCGGGTCTGTGCTGGTGAAGGTGCCTCAGGTGCTAAAGATCCTCAGCAGCAAGTCCGGCGAGGGCATCAACATAGTGGGCGTAGTGCTTGACTTGCTGGCCATCTCCTTCCACCTGTCCTACAACTTTATGCATGGCTATCCATTCAGTGCCTGGGGTGACAGTACCTTCCTGGCCATCCAGACCGTGGCAATCGCCGTCCTGGTCCTGTTCTTCAACGGACGCAAGGCTCAGTCGGGGCTCTTCCTTCTGGGATATGTCCTGCTAATGTATGTCCTCAACTCGGGGCTAACGCCCATGTCGGTCCTGTTCACCATCCAGAGCTGTAACATTCCCATCCTGCTGGTAGGTAAACTGTCGCAGGCGTACACCAACTACCAGGCTGGATCTACTGGTCAGTTGTCCGCCGCCACGGTAATCATGATGTTTGCGGGCTCGGTGGCCCGCATCTTCACCTCCATCCAGGAGACGGGCGACACCATGATCATTCTCACCTTCATTGCCTCCACCTTCGCCAATTCGGTTATCCTGGGCCAGTTGATCTACTACTGGGACAAGCCTGCTGGTGTCGTCAAGGATTCAAAGGTCAAGAAGTCCAAGAGCAAGAAGGATGATTAGACTGGAAGGAGTAGGAGCAGATAGAAAGACAGATTTGAACTCGAAACTTAGGTTGCAACCATTTCTCGACATTGTAGAACAAATATGCAAAGCTTAAATAAATTGAGTCTTAGTTTATTAGCTTGTCCTGCTTCTCAAAGTGCTGCTGCAGGAGCGCCAAGGCGCGATAGCGATGGGAAATTGTGTTCTTCTCTGATTTGGGCAGTTCGGCATAGGTCTTGTCGTAGCCCTTGGGCTGGAATACCGGATCCCTGCGATAACAGAAACAAATTTAATTAGTAAGGGCTATTTTATCAGGTTAGTTACGCAAGTGACTCACCATCCAAAGTCCCTGGGACCACGAGGCTCTACAATAACGCCCTCTGTGATGCCCTTGAAGATCAGCGGCTCTGCATCCGCACTATCGCAGTAGCCAAAAGTGCACACAGCCTGGGCTGATTTATCCTCCCAGCCGTGGAGCAGGCGGTACAATCCCTCCGGCTGCAACTTTTCCAAGAACCACTTGATATACGGACCCGGCAATCCTTCCAGTGCATTGAAGCACAGGCTGGTGTCTTCGACCAGGACGGGTCCATTTACCTGGCGCGCTGCCTCCTTGCACTTCTTGATGGCAATTTCGTCGATGTCACCTATGGGATCAACAATGGTTTAGGTCATCACTCATTCAAGTAAAAGTGTATTGTTTACCCTGCAATTCCGGAAGATCAATCTTCTTGGACACAATGGTGCGCGGGAAACTGGGTCCCAAGATGGCAACCAATTCCTCCAGCTTTTTGGCGTTGCCGGTGACAAAGGTAATTGGTTTCGACATGGTAAACTATATCTTATTGTCGCCTTCAATTTAAGCAATTGTGACGATTTTGAGATTGAAGCATGCGGGTGCTATCAGCTGTTGTCTGTTTAGGTTGGGCGCGAAACCAAGAACAGAGTGGTTATCCCTTTAAAGTTTGGTTGAATTTGCCACATTCGCGGGCAATCGAATAGTCTTTGCTCGTTAAATACGATTTTTTTAAATAAACTTGCATCTATCATATATTTGATAATATACATTTAGAACTGAAACTAGTTCTGCAGCTTCAACATTGTTGAATTATATAAATTCGCATTTAAAGGCATACTTAAATTATAACTTGTAAAATAAAATTCTCATTCCGAAGGTTTTCTTTTATTTATCCATGTTATCAATTCAAAGTTTGTTAAAATAAAGGTTTAAAACTCGAGAATAAAAAAAGAATACATTTTATTTAGGAGCCTTGACAGTAGCATTTCATGTTGATTTTACTTAATATTTGTTGACTTAAATTTAAAGACATAATTTTAGTTCATGTGGAGTTTTCCATTTTTTTGGGACGATAATGGGTTTTTTGGATGACAAAACTTGCAAATAAATTAACGTACACATGAAAACGGTTACTGGTTGACAACGTTTAGCCCAGTGGCTTAGTCGTCCAGTGTGAGATGCAGATTGGCCGACGGATGCAGGCCGAGTTCCTTTAGAGAGCTTCCATTGTGCTCTGTCTCAAGGGATTTGCGCGGGAAGGCGCAGATGAGCTTGTATCCCTCCAGAGGGATGTGCTTGTGCGTTTGGTTGATGTACAACCTCAGTGTCTGCAGTTTGGTGTCTGAGGGCCAGCGCAGCTGGACCATCTCCTCTTCTGTTCCGGCGGCGTTGAGCAGGCGCAGCTTCAAGGCAGTCATTTCACTCTTTGCCTCGCCCAAGTAATTCTCATAGGAAGTGGCAGTCACGCCCTTGAGTTCCTCATCGTCAAACTCCTCCAAGCTTTCGTTATCGCTGGCTCCCTCGGGATTATCATCCTTCTGCGTACCTCCACCGCCGTTCTCGTTTATGGAATTCTTTATCGCCAGTTCTAGCTGTTCCTCCTCGGTTAGCTCCAAAACTTTGGCCCGTTTCTTGGGGGTTCCTTTAGAGCTGGCCGTCGAAGAGCATGAGGCCTCGGGATCCACTTCCTCGTCATCATCGATGTATGTGGCTGATCGCTTTGAGGTGCTGGGTGCATCCTCCTGGATGAAGTCGCGGTGCTCCTTTAGAAACTGCCTCAAATCGCAGAGGACATTCTCCAGCTTCGGCTCTGCACTGCGCCACACTTCCTCGCCTGTACGGGGATCGATCACGCACAGATAAGGAAGAGTGGCGCAATGGTAGAAGGCCACGAAGCGCCGTCCTTCCGATGTATCGTTGTCCACCTGCCAGAAAGTGAACTGGCGCCGAATCAATTTCTTGAGCTCCTTGTCCGACCAGACATCTCGGTTCAAGGTCTGCGATTGAAAGTTGTCGTCCTGCACATTGACTAGCAACCAACGTTGCCGTTTCGTGGCGAATTCCCTGGCGGAGGTCAGCGATCCAGAGTAAAGTATGTCTGTGGGCGGGCGGAACAGGTCTCCGAGGCGGGATGTGCTGGTGGCCGTTGAGGACCGGCTGTTAAGTGCCATGGCCTGGCCGGCCACCACCATCTGGGCTGCCCGTCCACGACGCAACCGATGGGCGTTGGGATCGGCATAGACGCCGGTAGCCTGTAACTGCTCCTCCATCAGAGCGCCTTCCCGGGCGAAGTCTCTCAGAGGGTAGACCTTGACCCTCTGAGTGACGCGCGACAGCCGGCTGCTGCTGCCCGACGCAAAGAAGTTGTCGTCCTCCGGCAAGATCAGTTGCTCCCTCACCGGGGCAATAGGCGCCCTTACCTCCTCCTCATCGTCCAGAAGGGGAAGCGAGCCGGAGGAACCAGCAGCAGCTGCAGCCGAGGATGTGGATGCAGCCGCTCCAGCCGCGCCGCCCTGCTCGAAAAACAGAGCCACGGCGGCGGAAACATCGTTGGCACAGGCCCCCAAATAATGTTTTGCCTCCTCTGCCGTGCAAGCGGTCACCTCGACCACCTGCTCCACCAGCGCGTCCGGCGCTTCGCTACTGGACATGGCTCTGCTCTGGTGGATTCCGGGTTTGGTTGCTGGTTGAGTTGGTGTCCGGAAAATTCGAGTGACCGGGAATAGAGAGCGATTTTCCAGGGCCAGATAAAATAAATGCGTCCGCACAGCTGTGAGAAAGTGCAGTGCTCGAAAGCAGTTGGAATGCAGTGCTGTAAAGCGTCGCTCAAAATTGTGCGTACAGCTTTTTTTTTGCAAATAATAAATAATTTGTGGTCGAATTTCAATTATAAACAAATAACAACTTAAACTTTATGGTAATAAAGTGGACTATACACCTATTGATAGTTTATAAACTATTTATTATTTGTTTATAAATTTTAATCATATATTGTTTACGATAAATTTAGAAAAACTTACAAATCTAAGGTCACTTTGACGGCAGACTTGCTGAACAAAAATTGCGATTTATTTCTGGCTGTTCAGCCAGTTGGTTTATGACTTCACCGGCGTCACCTTCTAACAGCAAGCTCAACTTCAGTTAGAGCAGTTGGCCAACACTGTTCCTGTCAGTCGTCGTAAAACACTGGACAGGTCAGCAGCAGCAGCAGAAGCAAAAAAGACTTTGCGTCGTACGCGAAAATCGAGATAAGATTCGGAATCGAAGGGGTCCGGTTCCAAAAATATGACTAATCCGCGCACTCATTGATCGGAAGTCTTCCCACCCACAAGTGACCGTGAATATGTGAGCACTGCGAATGGGAGTCGGAGAAAATCGAAGCCAGTTCGCAAGCAGTTCGAATCCAATAAGATTCGAGTCGAGTGCAACAGAGAGAAAAATTGAAAGTGAATACGGAGATATACAATATTTCAAACTCAGTGCCATTTTTCGTCAATCCCATTGATTAATGAAGGAGCTATGCTGCGCGGAATAAGTTGAACTATTTGACCCGGTCGCCCAGTTGTTTATTTGTTGATTTGTTGTAGCACGCTGCTGACGTCGCAAGATGGTCTCGCTGATAAAGAACCAACTACTCAAACATTTGTCCATGTAAGTGCATAATCTCAGCCAGAAAATCGAATTACGAAACTTAATTAGCTGCAGTTGGGTGAAAAAAGATTGCAATGTGGAGAACTTGGAGCCGAAATTGATTTTTCCCACTTTTCTGTGAGTGTCTGTATGTGTGTATTTCTCGCAGCTTCCCACCCACTCTGCCTAACACAACCGTTATTCCACCTGTACTGGCCCGCTTTTTATGCCTTCTTTATCGTTTAACGTTGGGAAGGCCCCATGCTAATAAGCTTACCTCCCACCATCCCCTTTTCAACCCACTCCGCCCCCTTTTAAAGTAACAAGTGGATTGCCAATTTCCACCCACGCACCTTTACTTTTTTCTCCCCATCCGTTACTGTGTTTTTTTTCTGGCGCCGCATCGTCGTCTCTGCGAAATCGGATTCCCATTCCACCAACTCATTTCCCATCCCTTTGAGCATTTGCATGCGAAATCCAATTTTCAGTCTTTTCCTCGCCGCAATATGGTTTACTTGACGGTTATTCGATAACCTTGCCAAGAAGGGGTTTTTACAGCTAAGAAACGCCGCAACATAAACAGAAAAATCAAATTCCCCTTTGTTTATTTACAATTATAAGCAATGCTTCCCAAGTGGGATCCCCAAATGTTTAATCAGGTTGTTATACATGCACTATAAAAAATATTAAATGGTTATTATTTTTCAATTCGGAGTCAAATGCTATTCAAAAAACTTAGGTATGATTTTAAAGAACTTTTACACAATAAAGGCCAACAAAATGCTCAGACAAACATGTTTAATAAATTATAAATAATATAAATAATTATAAATTATATAAAAACAAGAAAGGAAAGCTAACTTCGGGCGGAGCCGAAGTTGAAATACCCTTGCAGAATATTCTGCAAATTATATTCTCCAAAATTATTCATATGATGCATTTTTAATACTCATAAAAAATCCCACCTTCCTAACTTTAAAAACACCAAAGTTATTTCATTTCCGATCAATCAGTTATATGGCAGCTATAGGATATAGTCGGCCGATCCTTATGAAATTTAATATGTCGAATTGATTGGGCCAAAATAAAACCCATAGAAAATCCCAACTTCCTAACTTTACAAACACCAAAGTTATGGCATTTCCGATCAATCAGTTATATGGCAGCTATAGGATATAGTCGGCCGATCCTTATGAAATTTGGTAGGTCGGATTGATTGGCCAAATATAAAACCCATAGAAAATCCCAACTTTCTAACTTTACAAACACCAAAGTTATGGCATTTCCGATCAATCAGTTATATGGCAGCTATAGGATATAGTCGGCCGATCCTTATGAAATTTGGTAGGTCGGATTGATTGGCCAAATATAAAACCCATAGAAAATCCCAACTTCCTAACTTTACAAACACGAAAGTTATGGCATTTCCGATCAATCAGTTATATGGCAGCTATAGGATATAGTCGGCCGATCCCGGCCGTTCCGACTTATATACTGCGTGCAAAGGAAAGAAGGGTGTGTGCAAAGTTTCAATCCGATAGCTTTAAAACTGAGAGACTAGTTTGCGTAGAAACAGACAGACGGACAGACGGACATGGCTATATCAACTCAGGAGGTGATCCTGATCAAGAATATATATACTTTATAGGGTCGGAGATGTCTCCTTCACTGCGTTGCACACTTTTGACCAAAATTATAATACCCTCTGCAAGGGTATAAAAAATGTATAATAAAAAACTAAAATCAAAATCTAAAGTGTATTTTTGCTGGCTTTTTAATTTTTTTTAAGAATGTCTATAACGATATGTAATCGATTGTATTCGTATTAAGTCTCAAACGAAACTATCAGATCAATAGAATATGAACTTGTTGACCTATTTGTTATGTGTACACCGAAAACAATTGAAATTGAAATAAAGCAATTGTTACATCAATTATTATTGAGTATACAAAAACATAAAATCTAGATGCGTATGAACTTTTTTTGTGGTGTAGCTTATTAACAAAGTTAAGTGCCGTTCCCAAGCATGTTATGTCGGAAACCAGGCATCTATTTTTATATATTTGTCCCCACGCATGAACTTTAATATGTCAAGTCCTGCCACCTGCTTAAACAAAGGCATGTTTTTTACCCGTATACACATTAGCATTGTCTTGGCCCCTTTGTGGATATCTTTTGTGCGCTATATGCCACCTTACCCTTCATCCCGCATCCACCTGGCTCCGTTCTGTTCCAGGCAATTAGGCTGCAAACAAGCCTAGTTTATAACATAACGCAGCCCAAGTGTAAATGCAAAGCAAACTTGTTGCCCAAGTTGTGAGGGGAAAGTTAAGGAAAAGCTTTTTATTTCCCCCACCGAGGCTGTTATCATTTTCCTTTGCCAGGTGAAAAGGTAGCTAACCTGATCAGGCATTGCCAAGAGTATTGGGTGGAGATTCCTTAATGCTTAGGAAAAAGTTGTTAAGTAATAAGTTCTGGAATTCCGCTCTGGTGGGCATTTCGCCACTTTGACCCAATCAGTGTCTTCATTTCGATTTCAATTATGCCCGACCATTAGCGGGAAATGGGTCAATTGGGTGGCAACCATCTGGTGCCGACAGGGGTGAACTATTTCCCATGGTTTCCGAAACCCCATCTTAGTTTCAATCCCCCATTAAATTCTATACTGACTGCAAATGCAATGTGACGTGTGCGACGAGGCTGATATAAGTGGCGGGACATGCAGGAGTCTTATCTTGGTTCTCCCTCTTGCTTATGATTTACTTTCTTTATATCTTCAGCTATACGAAGAATCTCTCCTCGGACAAAATCAATTTGAGCACCTTCCGCGGCGAGGGTGAGCTCTCGAATCTGGAGTTGGATGAGCGGGTGCTTACCGAGCTGCTGGAGCTTCCTAGCTGGCTGCGCCTCACCTCCGCCTGGTGCAATCATGTCTCCTTCCGGATTAGTTGGACCAAGCTCAAGAGTGTGCCAATAACGCTGGTGAGTAATCCCAGAGATTAGCAGCATTTTACGAGAGAAGGACCTGCTGTTCCTTGGCAGCTTTGTGAATTTAATAATGTGTTCCGTTGTTTATTTAAATAGGTGTATTAAAGGATTGTTTTTTCAACTAAATAATACTTCAGTAAAGGAAGTATTTTGTAAATATATATTTAAATGCACTTTCAATAAAATGTTTTTAAAACTATAAATAATATATCTTGAGGAAGTCCTTGCACAATAAAATTAAAACAGCCAATTAAATAGTAAAACTAATTACTATAAGTAATAATCATGCTCCTAATCACTCCCACAGACTCTGGATGAGGTGCGCATCACCATCGAGACCTGCAATCCAACGACACGCGATGCAGGCGGAGGGTCAGGACCCGGAGGAGCAGGATCTCCCACCGCTGCCGCCGCTGCCTTGCCACAAGTGCCGCAGGGTAAATACAGCTTCATCCACAAGGTGGTCGATGGCATCACAATTGTGGTCAACACGGTGAACGTGAACTTTGTGAGCGCCGCCTTTACCGCCTCCGTGCAGATGTCCCGCATCCGTGTCGAATCCAAGACGCCAAAGTGGGCAAATGCCGATCTGCGGCTGACGCGGCTCAAGGACGCTCAGAAGGGCATCATATTGATCTTTAAGGAGCTCTCCTGGCAGACGGTACGCATCGAGGCCAGTTCCACGCAGGACAAGTCGCTGACCCCGCTGCGCCTGCTCACCAATCACGCCAGGTGCCGCATCACGATCCGGAAACGGCTGTCCGACTGTTCCCTGCTCGCTTCCCGCCTGGTCCTCATCCTGGACGATCTGTTGTGGGTGCTCACGGACTCGCAGCTGAAGGCGGCTCTGCATTTTGTGGACTCCCTGTCCGGATTGATCAAGGCGGCCACTCATGCCACCCAAAAGTCGAAGGCGGCTCGCAAAATGCAGGTGAGGCAGCACAACGTCAACTTATTTATGGGAATGGGGGTTTCCCCCATTTCTAACTGATTGAGATAAGGTTGAAAATGACCTACGATTATTTATTTAAATTTATTCTGATTATAGACACTGCCCGAGTACAAGGCCCAGGTGGAGCAGCAGCAGAATCGTCTCTCCGAATCCGCCCACACCACGAATGCGCAACGAATGTTCAACGCCTTCGATGTGCGTGAGACCTCGTATCATTTCTTTAGTCAGCGCATCGATCTCCATTTGTGTGACGACGAGGGAGACGGGCGCTCCAGTTACCCAGATCTGGACAAGGGTGGTGCGTTGCAGGTGTCGGTGACCGCTTTTCAGGTGGACTACTATCCCTATCACCTGGCCAAATCGGATCGCTCGCATTGGGCCAAATACAAGGAGGCTTCGGTGGCGCCGGCTTTGTGG